TTAGCGCTCTTCAGATCAGATTATCTTACAGTGGAGGGGCAGGATTTGTTCCCAGTCATCTGCACCCAGTGCAGGACACATAATAATGGTCTCAAGTTACAGGAGGCCTTATTGGCCCCTTATTCCATGATTCAGAGATTATTTGTAGTGGTCTCTGTGAATGTACACAAATAGGTTTATCCGGTGCAGGATGTTTGGAAGATTTTAGAAACAATTTAGTTCTCCCCAAGGGTATAGGCTCCTCCTCCTCCTCCATCTTCCTTTCAGTTCCTCTTTTTCCGCTGTTCCAGTAGGGCATTTGGAATAGTTAGAGCGACTTTTAGGAAAGTTCTTAGCCCTTTTGGGCTTTCTTTTCCGTAAAACTCCTTGTTTTTACTTTATCTTTTCTTTTTTAATAGTTTAGAACTAGGTGCTGACTAATTTCCTTTTTTCTCCCATTCTATACGCCATTCTCAAACCACCACCCCCACAATGGATCCCCCACCATTTTCTCCTTTTTGCATTTTGTTTTTCTTCTTTTCTTTTATGGCCCCTCGGGGCTTCAAACAGTACACTGTTTAAGAAAAATACCATTAACAGACGGGCACAACCGGTGTTTGTTTTGTCTGAGGGAATTTCACCGCGCCCAGTCATGCACCGCGTGCAGGAGCCTCTCCAAACAGGCTATTAAACTTCGGCACCAGCGGCTTCGTTCCTTTCTCTACGAAAAGACTCTTACCATGGAAGCCGCTACTCTCCCTGCTTCGACTCCACGCTCGGAGACTCCTAAGTCTGCTCCCAGTACGGTTGAGCAACCTCCACTTACTTCGGCTCCTCTGCTGGCCAAGCCCAAGGACGAGACACTTTCGAAGCTCTCCTTGTCTTTTCCTCTGCTCTGGACCTAATAGGGATAACCCTGCCTCTCCACAAACCATATCAATGTGCATAATGCAAGCGATACAGCTGGCATATCAACTTGCAGGCCAGCTGATACTGGAACGCTTGAAGGCCCATTCTACTCGAGCAGTCTCCACTTCGACCGCTCTACACGGCGGTGTCCATATACAGTGGTGCCTCGCTTAGCGATTGCTTCGTTTAACGATGTATTCGCTTTGCGATGGGTTTCTTTGAGGAAATTTCCCCATCATTTAACGATGCTCTCTATGGGGGAATTTCACTTAACGATGTCCGTTTTTGCTCATTTAAAAGTGTCTTAAAATGTTTGAAACCTGTTTTAAATGCTTGGATTCGGTAGTGCACTTTCTGAAACATGTGTAAACTTAATTTGGTTTTGTTCTGAGTCTTCGTTAACTTTTGGCGATTTTTTGTTTTCCCCATTTAAATCCATTGAATGGACAGTGGACGGACACATCCCCCCCTTCCTCCCCACTGTCCGTCACGATACCGTTGTTTGATACCTATTCCATATGGTAATGGCAGATGAGGGAACTGAAAGGAAGGTGGAGGAGGTGAAGCCTATACCCTGCCCGGGGGGGGGGGAACTAAATTGTTTCTTTTTTCTAAGCTCTAGAATCTTCCAAGTCCTGCGCAGGTGCAGGATAAACCCATTTGTGTGAATTCCCAGAGGACCACTAGAAAAACCATGGTTACAGTTAGGTAACCTAGCTTTCTGTGACCAAGAACAAACACAGATAAGCAAAAATCCCAAAGAAGACCTGCATCTTACATGGTTTGGGAACCCTTTCCCAGACTCTTAATAAACTGAACTGTACCTATATAAATAATCAAGGGAAACCATAGATTTTTCTTGCCCCTTTAGATTAATGTGGCAGGTTTGGGCTAGTTTTAATAGATGTCTTAAAAATAACTACATAAACATAAGAGCAATATTTTGCCAGGGAATATGTCTGTTCAGTTCAGCATTCTGTTCACATGATAGACCATCAAATACTTTGGGGAAGTGACAAGCATGACATGAATGCAACTGCATTTTCCCACTCATGTTACGCAGCAATTGATGTATAAAAATATACTGCCTCTGATGCTGGGGGCAATACATAACTGCTAATAGTTATTCATAGCTGTATATTGATCTAGTGCAGAGGTCTCAAACTCTATATACCTGGGGACCGCTGGAGGCAGAGCGTGACAAGCATGAATGCAACTGCATTTTCCCACTCATGTTACGCAGCAATTGATGTATAAAAATATACTGCCTCTGATGCTGGGGGCAATACATAACTGCTAATAGTTATTCATAGCTGTGCTGTATACTAGTGCAGAGGTCTCAAACTCTATATACCTGGGGACCGCTGGAGGCAGAGCCTGGGTGAGGCTGGGACGCATCAGGTTTTCCACAAGAAAAGCTTTGTTAAAAAAATTCCAATCTTCTCAAATCTATTTATTTTTATTTTTTAACACGAAATAAGATGAAAAAATAAACAAATTAAGAATAATCAATCAATCAATCAGTTGTTGTTGTTGTTGTTATTATTATTATTATTATTATTATTATTACTACTACTACTACTACTACTACTACCACCACCACCACCACCACCACCACCAACAACAACAACAACAACAACAACAACAACACCACCAACAACAACAACAACAACAGACATCACATTGTCAAACTTCAGGCATTTGCTGCAAAGGGTCTACTGATGGATGATGCAATGCAGAGCAATTGCTTCCTCCACACACCCTTCTTCCAGTTTTTTTTAAACAAGTACCACCAGTCCATTTTTCCTCCCTGTCATTGATGGCGCACCATCGGTTGTTATTCCAACAAACCTCTTCCATGGCAAACCAGCATTCTCAATGGCATCACACAGCTGGTGAAATATCTCCTGAGCAGTGGTTTGGCCATGCATTGGAATTACTATGAGCAATTCCTCCATCACTTCAAAATTGTCATCAACCCCATGGACATACATTGCGAGCTGGGCAGTGTCGGTGATGTCTGTGGTACTATCAAGAGCGACTGAGTATACACAGAAACATTTGGCTTTCTCACACAGTTGGGCATAAATGTCATGACAAGTCAGAAATGCACTGTGCTGCGGTGTTGGCAGAAAGGCTGATGTTGCTAAACTGACCTTTCTTTTCTGGACAGAGTATACTTACAACCTGTAATATGCACTTTTTGACAAATTCACCTTCTGTGAATGGCTTTCCTGCTTTAGCAATCATCTCACTAACCACGTAGCTAGCTTCGACTGCTGCATTATTCTCTTTGGTTGCTTTCTTGAAGAAATCTTGTTGCCTCAGTAGACATGTTTTAAGATTGGCAACCCAGTTGGCTCTCTCATCTCCCTGGTATTTTGCATACTGCTCAGCGTGTCTAGTTGTGTAATGATGTTTCAAATTGTATTCCTTGTGCACCAAAACTTTCTCTGTTTAAATAAGACATGTTGGGGTGCCCCTGTGCTCAACACAGAAATTTCCCACTTTTATGAAATTGTCTGTGCTCATCACCAGCCTTTCTCTTCTCTGCAGGCTTTGAAAAAGACATGCTTGGGGTTGTGTAATATATATAATTCCACTTGATGTCACTGTCACATTGTAGTTAATCAGCTGTTCCCAAAATGGCCGCCGGGTGCAGAAATGATTGCAATGCGATGTTTAGCCTATCTAAACATTGCAATGCGATCGTATTAGCTACCCCAAAAACGGGTCGCTATGCGGATTCTTCGTTAAACGGTGCGCTTGTTAAGCGAGGCACCACTGTACATATAATGTCCCGCTGGGCAGCAACTTCAAAAAACTTTTTTTTTGTGAACGCAGTGTGCTGGGATGAATTGCTTGTGCCCAATAGAAACGAGGCAGCCAGCCAGGCACAGAAGAAAACACTCAATGGCAACGCTGCTATAACTTTCACTCATTGAGAAATGTATCTCTGCTTGCATCAAGCCTGGCCAATGTCCTGCCCCCGAGAGCCATATACCCCACGGTGATTGGTAGGTTCGTTCAGCTCCACAAACAACACTGTAAAGTGCCATACATATCAAACCCGTGGGCCTCACTAACATTAAACTTTCATATTAAGGCGGAGGCCACAAACTATCATCCCGCGGGCCGCAGTTGGCCCCTGGGCCGCGAGTTGGAGACCCCTGATCTAGTGCCTTCTAAAACCTATTAATGTTGATGCCTGTTACTGCATCTAATGGTAGCAAATTCTGCAAGCCAAGTGTGAGTGGTATGTGAACATTTCCTTTATTTGACCTAAATTTCTTCACTATTAGGCCTTGGGGTGACCCCAGCTTCTCATAGCATGACAGAAGCCTGTCCACTTTCTCCACATCATGCATAATTATCTGTACTTCTGTTGTGTCCCCACAGCCAATTGCCTTTAGGCTAAGCTGAACAGTGGATCAACGTAACTTCAGCCTCTTAATTATATTTTTTTTGAACCACCTATCTTACTCCATCACTTTGATCATATTCTTTCTGATTTGCACTGATGAGAATCATGCACAATATTTCTAGTGTGGTTGTGTCATACATTTATATAAGGGCAACATTAACAATTTTATTATTTCATTTCCTTTTGTAATGATGTGCCATTACTACACATTGTAGCAACACTTTCACTACAATCCTAAGATCTCCATGTTGAACATGTAGAAAACTGAGGTCAGGTCTCATCAATGTAAATGTGGGGTTGAGATTTATGGTATCTTGAAATTTGAACCTTTTGAGCTATATTAACAGTCTTAATAGTGTGACTGTAGCAGTCATAAATAAAATGTTGGCTGCCAGACCAGTAATGTTCTCAGAGTCAGTTTGGGTATTTATAAGAACCAGGAACTTGGGAATCTTGTGTATATTTAGAACAATGTACAGCTGAAACAAAGACTGTTGACTCAGTAATCCCCACTGCTTATTCAAAATTATAAATTTGTTGGAATATTAACAATGTAGCCATTGTGCAGTTATCTGATCAAAAGCAAGCTTTGCAAACTTGATATTTCAATAACGTTGTATCTGTATATGTGTTCGTTAATCATTTGTCCTTGTCTACTTACTTAATTTTCTATTTTATTTTCCCCCAGAAGGAACTCAGTCTCCCTAGAAGAGGAAGCTTGTAAGTATATTTTTTCACTTTTTTCCTTAATAGCAACTAAAACTTAAAAAAAAATAATTTGAGGGTTTGATATGTTTGTAGGAAAAGGAAGTGAGGAAGGTAGCATAAACATCAGGCTACTGTACTATGAAGACCATGAACTAGTACTGATACAAATTACAGTGGTGCCTCGCTTAACGAGTGCACCGTTTAACGAAAAATCCGTATAGCGATCCCTTTTTGGGGATCGCTATACGGATCAGCCCCAATCGCCGCACTCGCTTTGCGACGATTGGGGCTCCGGCGGCCATTTTGGAGCTGCCGAACAGCTGATCGGCGGCTCCAAAATGGACGCTGCATGACCCGAAATGGCCCAGTTTTTACAGTCACATATGATTTTGCACCTCTGTAGAGGTGCTGGAGTGGGAAACAATGTAGGCTGTTAAAGCTGTACTATTATAATTAAATACACTTTTTAAATGCCTTGTTCTGTTTGATTTTAGTAGTACAAGGAATTTCATGATGATGCATGATTTTAAGATAAGGAGCCTCATGGCACAATGGTTAAACTGCAGTCCTGCAAGTCAAGGCTCTACTCATGACATGAATGCTATCCTGATGGGTTCAGGTAGCTGGCTCGAGGTTGACTGAGTATCCCATCCTTCATAAGTCAGTAAATACAGTACCCAGCTCACAGGCACAGGGCAATATGTAGCCTGCATAATTAAACTATAAATTACCCAGGAAGTGCTTTTAAGCACTATGGATAAGTATATGTGCAACAAACTTGGCTTTAAGATTACAGACCGATATCATTATTCAGTGGAGATGTGAAACTCTGTTTCTAGTTGGAGTGTTTGAGAAGTTAATGAATGAATTTATTTATTATGGTTGGGTGACCAACTCATAAAACATATTTATGCCTAAAATATACAAAATGCAATTTAAAAAGTGTACAACAGATAATTAATTGTGTACTGGTTGTAAAATATGGGGAGAATCAAATACAGCCTTTTTATACCTATCCTTTGAACCATTGGATTATCTAGGACAAACTGGTTTGGATAGGGTCTTTGGGTTATAGGGAGTCCTTCCTACGTATTTGTAAACATTTCGTCCCTTCGGTTGGGACCACAACATTTCTCTACACTCGACAATAAACCACCCTCATGCTAAAACCAGTCAACCTGTGAACTCAGGAGACTATAAGGGAGTGCTGTGCCATTGCTACTGCACAAAATTTTGCTGCAGAGCGTATAATAAGGGAGTCTTCATTGGAAAGAAGTAGCTTGATGTAAAATTCATCTGCATGGCCTACAGTTTCAATTGGGCTCAGGAGGTTGGTGCATATATCTCTATAGAAAAGACAGTACAGTAAAACATGGCCTACAGTTTCCACTTGGCCATCGTTACATGGACACAGGCAATCCAAAATAGGTATATGTTGAAATCTTCCCTCCATGAGCTTAGAGGGTAAAACATTAAGTCTCGCTAATGTGAAGGCTCTTCTGGTCTTTGTTGTCATTGTGCTAGTCAAATATGAAGATATTGTAAAAGCATTATTAGTAGCAACACTGTACAGTATTTGCCTGACTGGCTCATATGCTCTTAAAGTTCTATGTCCCAGGTTCTTTGTTTGACTGCTGCTTTAGCACCTATGTGCCCCATCACCAAGAGAGCGTTGGTGGAAGAACCCATTTGCCTTATTTCTTTTGTGAGTTGGAGTTTCCAATCTGATTGAAAGGAGTCAGAAAGTGACATATGTGCCAAGCCTTCTGAAGAGAAGATAAGCTTTAGCCAGTAATTAAACATTAGGACTTTGGTGCGTGCTCTTATGGTGATTAGGCCAGCCTCCAAACGAAGGGCTACATTACGTGTACAAGGGGGTACAGTCAGGATAGATCTCAAAAAACTTGGTTTGAACTACCTCAAGAGGACGTAGGTTAGATAAAGAAGATAAAGCAAACAATTGGCACCCATAGAACATTTGAGCAACAACTTTAGCCTTGAAAACCTGAATGGCTGAGGGGATATGGTGACCCCCTTTAATGTGAAAAAAACTTGTTAATGCTACTGCATTTTTATGAGCATTCAGTGCTGCATGCTTTATGTGTGTGTGTGTGGGGGGTCCAGGAACGCGAGGCATGAAAGATTATGCCGAAGTATTTATAGCTGGAAACCTGCTCTATGGGATGACCATTGATAGCCCAATTGTGCTTCACTCTTCTTCTACTGTCCATGAGAATGTTGGTCTTCTGGTAATTAATTATTAACTGCTCTAGATTACATAGGAAGAAAGCCCCCTCAAGAGTCTTCTTGGTCCCACATGTTAATGAGAGTAGAACTGTATCGTCTGCATAAAGCATGAGTGCAGCTTGGGGGGATGAAATTCAGGCTTAGATAAATTAGATAAATTTTCAACTATGTTATTCATGTAGAGGTTAAACAAGGTGGGAGCCAGTATGCAACCCTGTCTGACCCCACTGAAAACTGTGATTGGATTGGATAGAACTCCAGATGGATTACAGAGGACTCTCGGGTGGGTATTTTCATATAGTCGCCTCATTAGCAGAAGTAGCCATCTGTCTATGTTCGTAGATTCAAATTTGGCCCAAAGTTTATTTCTTGGAATAAGATCAAAGGCAGACTTAAAATCAATAAAGGCTGCATACAAGAGAAGTTAATGAGGATTCTTAGTCTTAAATAGGATTTCTTTCTTTCTTTCTTTCTTTCTTTCTTTCTTTCTTTCTTTCTTTCTTTCTTTCTTTCTTTATTTATTTATTTATTT